AATTAAGTTTCTTTCTGTACTCGGCGGTTTTAGAGTAAATATTTTCGACTAATGTAATAAAGACAGATTTTCCTTTCTATGCAGTGAATTTTTGTGAATGAATGAGTTAACCCTACTTTTACAGGAACGTACCGCCTCAACCCCCATTTCTTTTGACATGTGTTATTTACAGCAAAAAGGCGATTTCCAAAGAGAAAAAGAACGTAATAGGTTTTAATAAAGACTATTGATTTTTTATTCATTTATCCTTTCCCATTTCCTCAAGGCCAGAAAAGGACCATCGACCTAAGCTAGCCGGCGCCCAACAACAATTGATTTATGTAAGAAGAACCACCCCTAAATAAAATAGTTTGAGAAAGAAACGGTAGGAAGAGTTGAAAAGTAACCAGTCGGTTATACTGAACGCGTATAATAGTTGCTAAAGAAAGAGGGTAGACACAATGCTGCCTGGTCCGGTTCCCTTTATGAATAGAATAGAATACTTTTAGTGGTAGATAACAGTTTATGTGTTACGATCAACGCTGTCAAACGGTCTTCTAGTATTTGACATTCGAGTTTTTCATTCGCACCTAACCCTTCTCTTTTGTTATTAGATAATTATCGGATTTCGCTTTCAATAAAAAAAACTATTCTTTTCAGAACAAAATTGAAGTGTTCACTGATTTTCCTTCAACTGTCTAAGCATTACCATAAGCTGAAGTATTGGTGGCTAATGAAATCATTATTTTGAAACGTGACAGAAAAACGGTTACAAGAAGTAAAATAAAAACACCAATAAACCACGCAAATATCATTATCAAACGAACAACTGAAAGATGAATTCCGTTAGTGCCGCAGAAATTCGGCGCCCTCCGCAGCATTCTCCATCAATCCTGCCTCCACAAGAGAGGGACAACAAATAATTAAATAAATCGCAGTCTACTATATACTTATCGGTAAACCGTGTTGTTCAGAAACACAAAGGAACCAACGCAAACTTGGAGACTCGCGTCGGCCCTTATCGCAGCAACTTGCTATCTAACCTAGGCTGTCCAAAGTTGTCTGTCTGTCGCCATTAAACCTACTCAACATTCCTATTCGCATAAAGCGGTACATATGAAAATAAATCTAACGAAAATTTAATAAATCGAATTGAAGAAAAGCTCCCGTTACAGGTCCAACTTGATTCTCAGCCTCCTTCCCCTTGGTTTTTTAAGATAAATATTCAAACTACTTTAACAAGTTGCAGTCGACGCATAGGTACTAAATTGTACCGTCTAAATTTTCGATAATATAGTCTTACCGTATCGGGTGACCCAATAAGACTGTTCCTCGGCCATATCTCGAGAACCGTTCGTCATATGACTTAGGGGTAAAAAAATTATTGGGTAAATCGGTCATGAAGAATCGCGGGAAAATATTTTCAAGTTCTAAAAATGACCAACAGAGGGCGTAACTGCCATCTTAAATTTTAAAATTGCATTTTCTTTGGTGTACGATGCACAAAGCTACCTACAGGAAGCACATAAGTAAGCTAAGACCCTGGGGCTCACTGGAACCATAAAAACCACGTCAAGTTTGGCCATAGTGGAGGAGGAGGTTCGAAAAGCTTCTATACGGCTAAACGATTGGGGCGAGTGGAAGTATCGAAGCAGCCTTAGGCACGAGGGGATCTGGAAGGGAATTCTCAGGTATGAATCCCTCCTCACAAGAAGGCATGTGGTCCGGATTGCCACACTAACGCCAAAAAGGTGTAAAATCGGATCTCCCGGATAAGGAGTGTGGCCTAGTCCGTCTCCCCTTGCGAATAGAATAGAGTAAAAGAGTTCTAGGGCCATTACTTCTTGCGTTTAGGCCATGGTTTTACATCTTTTAAATAAACAATTTAGAATTAAACAATCTTATGTCAAATAATTACAGTCGAAAATCACACACTCTAAAACAGCTTTCGTTCTTTTTTTATATCGTATTGTCTGGTACCATTACCATTCTTGCATTCTAATAAATTGCAGTTCTTCAATTTGACAGCATCCAGTACGGCCCTAACTTCATCCATATGATTTATTAATATATTCTTGTCTCTAAAACACTTCAATTAGTTTTTCGACGAATTGGGAAAGGACTTACTGTTCTGAAATGATTCTTAGCAGCCTCTCCGCATTTGTATCGGCCGACGTCGAACCAGACTTCAATAATATTTCACATATCACCCTCTCTTCACACGCCGAAGAGTCCAACGCATTGATGTAGTGCAATGATTGTATTAAATCCTTTGTCGACCTTCGATCGTTCGCCCGTCCTCGTAGTTCTCTAAAATGCTCTTTGACCTAAACAAATTTGATTTTCCTAACTTACGTATTGTTAATCGGATTTACGTTAATAAAAGACGGCGTTAGCGCGCTGATTAACAACCCCAACGGAATTATGGCGGTTAAAAATCCGATTACTTTCTTCCAAGGCGATGGAATCATTGGAGGTTCTGCCGGAATCACTACTTGCTGTTGATCAAAATGGGTCTTGTGCGCAACGGGGTGTCCGCCGTAACCAGTCGCGCTCAAATCCGGAGGATTGTGGCCGTAGAAAACGTCTTTGTGGTTGAAGAGGTCGCCTCCGCTCAATGTGTTGCCTACTCCTGTGCCTCCATATTTGGAGTAGCCTTGTTGGTTTTCGTAATTTGGAGTTTTCTGTGTTGATATTGGACCTAGATATGGGAAGGGGCTTTTGGAGGTCGTTTCCAAGTAATTCAGGCTTGTCAAATACGGGTAGGGGTGTTGTTCGTTGATCGTTTGGTATGAACTTTGGGTTGTTGTGGGAAATTTGATCTTGTTACCGTTATTGAATGTGCGAGTGGTGGTAGATGGTAATTGTAAAATGCTAGCCTTTTCGGGCCACGGTCGGTGTTCAAATCTGGAAGGTTTATCATCGATGCTTATTCCGGGGTAGTACTTCGCTTCCGGGAGAGCAGGTGGGACCGGAAAACGGTTATATTCGTAATAAGTCTCCAGTTGCTGACTAGGCCTGAAGTTATCAAATTTCTTGTTCGGGCTTGATGATGAGTTTCTAGATAATAAGGTGCGATTTGAAAGTAGAGTGGATGATCGGCTTTCGGCCTGCACCGGTTGCACTTTAATTAAATCATGAGATTTCGAATTAGGTGTAACACTTTCATCCAAAACTGTTAGTTTGGCACTCACGATCGATGTAACATTTTCTTGTGCTTTTACCACAAAAATCGACACACACATCCATATTAAAATTTCAACGTTTTTCATCTTAATACTGTTACCATTTCATGCGAATATGAAATGTTTCTTACTGCAATTCCTCTTATATTTATAAGTTGTGCATGTTGCATCAAAAGCATTGTTTGAAAGATTTGATAATCGTCATTGTATTTGTCTCGTATTCATTGTGTTACGTTAGTGACCATAGCGAAAGAAAGTCGCATCTTACCAACAGCTAACGACAGCTCAGGTTATGCTCTAAATAAACCATATGATAACAATATTAGATATTTAATAGTTTCGAATGAAAGGAATATTTCTTTATAAATTAATGCGATACGAAATTGAGAGTCAATCTAAGGTTTTCTCTTAATTATTTTGTAGTTAGAAAGTGCCCAAATGTTTACATGAATTGATACATTAATTTTTTACAATCCATTTTTATAATTACCTACCCAATGCATTTTAACAAAATAGACCACAAAGATTTTGCACCAACATATGTTGATCATTATACAATCAATAGGTATTACGAGGGAATATGTTTCTGTAATCTACTTACATATAAAATAAAAGGAATTTAAGGCGAAACAAACATTTCAATATGAAAATTGAATGTTATATTAAACAAGTATAAATTGTGCACAACTCTTGTGTAGATAAAGCGCATTTTTTTAACCGAAATAGCTTTTGTTTTGACATCATCAATGGATATATTTCTTGCAGACGTCTCAATCGTCCTTTGTGAGTACCCTCTTCCGACAATACGTTCTTGAGGTATAAGGGAACATACCCGATCACGATAAGAGGTCAAGGAAGAGGGCTATGGTTGGTAGAAATTAATTCCTTTCGCTGAAACCTTTCATTAGAGTACCATGAAGGTTAAACTAGTTCCATCCCCCCCCCCCTCGTACTTTGATAAGAGGACAGAAAGAAGGGCAGTCGTTGGTAGAAAACCGTTTCTTTCGTTGGGACCTTTAATTAGAATACAATGAAAGATAACATTAATTATTAACCCCCCACCCCCCTTAGGCCCCGTCCCTCATTGATCTCGAAAAAAAGTCGTACGGGAAAGTTATAGTTTGTATAAACCAATTTATTTCGATGAGACCTTTCATTGGAATACCATGAAGGGTAGAACATGTGTTTACTCCCCCCCCCCCCCCCCCCCCCAGTTCCTAAAGTGTAGCTTGGTAGCTTGACACCACTAAAGGCATGCGTATGCAAAATCTGAGACCAATTGGTTGTCGTATGTAAAAGTCATGCACGTTTTACTTTCAAAAACAGCCTCTTAGGAAATAATTCGTGGGGGAGCCCCCCTTTTCGACAGCGAAATTTGATGGCCGTCTGGCACACCTTCAAGGTATATGCTACCTACTGCAAAAAATTCCAAGACTCTAGGACTCTTCCCCTATAAGTAGCTCAAAACGGTAGAAGTGGGTTCGGCCGGACGGACGAACGGACGGACAAAACGCAAACAATAGCACATTTTTTTTAATTCTTAAAAAATGCGCTAAAAATACGATTTCGGGAAAAATGTAGGTAACACAAAACTGGACAGTAAAGTAGCACTAATAGACTCAGACATTAAAGTACTCACCCCCGAAAGGGCCTCGTACTTCAATCTTTTCTCGTTAGTAATTTGTCATTTTCCTGACTTTTATGTACCTAAATGATTATTAATTCATATCTAAACGTTAGAAATTTAAGAGGATTTTTAGGGACGTTTAGGAAGTGTCTCTTAGGCCGGCCGCCCACTATCAAAACTTATTTTGAGAAAACGTGAGCGGATTTGTTTTTCCGCAATGCTTTTGTCTTTTATCGGCTTTTTGGAAGGTTTTGGAAGGACAGGAAGTGAAAGTGTTCGGGAGTTAAAAAGTGTAAATCGACTGAGTCAAATTATCTCAAAAAGCAGCCTAAATTGGATGTTGTCACTTGGCCAGGGCCGAATTAGATTGGAAATAGCACTTTAACTTTATCGGCTGGCTACCTGACACTGGAGCGGAAGTGAAAGCTGTGTCATCACGACCTTATTCTCATCGGAGTTCAACAAGCTGCCGAATCGTAAGTATCAACGTTTTTGATATATCATCATGCACGGCTTCCCAGATAAAAACGAACTTGATAATCACCTAAAGTCGCATTCTTGCTCAAAATATACACACACTTCTGAATAGTAAAAAAATTATTAATCCAATCAAAGGACTAGGATTGCTGAAATTCAAGGCAAAATACCAATTGATGAACCAAAATACCACAAATCCTTTGTTTCGATCCGATTATTATCAATAAATACAGTACAAATCTGTTTCATGCAAATGTCTCTCATAGGTCGGTTTAGTTAGGAATATTAAAATTATTTCAAACTCAAGTCCGGATGCAAATTCCTGAAAAAAGGTTCCTTTGTCATGTAAAGGCCGCTTGACATGGAGCAATACAATGCGCAAGAACTTGCAGAAAGAAATTGCAAGGTCAAATCCTTGCATGCAATAAGCATTGCATGGTATTTGACATGGTGCAATTCTATTTCAATTGCCACATGTCTGCCAACAGAAGAAACATATGGATTTGTCAACAAAGTAGTTAACCTCAAATGAAAATTAAATTTTGATTGCTTGAAGAAACATGAAAATTACAAGAATAAATAAGATTAATAAAAACAAGTAATGAGGCGTCTCTCAGCATCATAGTTGCCGCCGCTGTATTTTACTAGGTTGGTGACACAAAAACAACTAGATTTATCCCTAGAATTGCACGATTCATGCAAGAAGAATAGCACCGGTCCTATAAAAATTGCATGCAAGTCTCTTGCAGCAATTGATCAGCTGGCTTTGAACTGCGCATGCCTTTCGCAATTTTTCTTGCAACTTGCATGCAATTGCAATTTTTATTGCTCCATGTCAAGCGGGCTTAAACAAGCCCCATTGTTTTGCAAAGAGATTTTATGACATTTTGCTTTGCTCATGTTTGCAGTAAATTTTAATGCATTGATTTTCATTAGGTACGTGTCGTTTGTACACTAACATTTTTCTCCGTAACGAAAGGATGACGGGGGTGGTATATATCTGTAACCACATTTAATTACGACACCTAATGCCGCGACTGTTCTCGAATCTCAACACGAGGGCACATTGTTACCCGTCTGAGGGGTCAGTAACACAAACACTTTTCGCTTTAGAATCCGTGTGTCATATGCTTATGTGTTGCGATTCACTAATTTTCACTTTTTTTTGTTACCGTTTGATTTGACAAGCAAGAGCATGTGACTTTCATTTCCGTTCTCACAAAACATTTTATTGCACCAAAGATGAGTCACATTCTGTGCATTTCACTCTTTCCCAGAATGTTTGTTACCTGCTTACCTGATCCGTTCCATAAACTTGTTTTCAATCTTGATATGCCGTCGTATACAAAACTTTATTTATCGTACAATGCGCTATCCAATGACGTCACTCAACATTATAGATGTTGCTTTTAATCAACCGTTACTGGTAGCAATTCAAAAAAGAATCTTCTCTGTTTATCACGTGTTTTAATATCAATTTTTATTTACTTGCGGTTTGAATTTGAAAACACATTTCCGACTCGAAAATGTTCTTTGGCGTAAATTTTATCACACGTAACTTAACGACGAATCAAGCTCGTAGATAGTTTTTTTTTCGCCCTGGAATCTACTGTAGGTAATCCGTTTTTTCGCACACATATAGAATTGTAGGTAACTGTCAATTTGCCACGAGCCCGAGTTTGTTTACATGTTTCTCCACAACTTATTTGACATTTCAGGGTTCTCACTGCTTAATATATTATATTTACCCGAAGTTAAACTGATAATTCTTTATATTACCTACTACTCTAATAAATGTCACTAAAAAAATGTACGTTTTGGTTCTTGAATTTCGACTGCAAATATTCACACATGCGCGAAATGGTCTCTCGTACATAAAATGGTGCGCGCTTGCTTTTATAACTTCGCTCAAAACAATTCGCTGGCTGGCTAATTAGTCTTCGAATATAATTTTTAACGCCACTCAAATAGTACGTTATGACTCGCGAACTCATGCAAGAATCCTATTTCTAACGCAGCCAAATGGTACGTGTTGACTCTTTAAAAGTCTAACCTCATCTTCCGAAAACCCCCTTACAATCCGGTCTCCCTTCGCTTATCTCGCACTTCACACTTATCGAAAACGTACACGTTGTTATCGTCAGACATACTTTCGTTCACGTTCACTATGAAACCGTACCTACATATTACATTTTCCTACACTGAACAAAATACAAATTCGAAAAAGTTACTGCTTTCAATGCTAAAGCGACCACCCGTTACGTTACACGAGGAGCAACTCATTTTCCGATTCTTCTTGTGTCCGTTTTCTTGATCAAACCCGCTACCGGCCGGTGCGTAAGCAATGCGAGATGAGTGTTCCTCTACTTAACATATTTTACAGATCATTTTTTTGTGTAGCTTTAGAAATCATTTGTTTTATTTTCGTGTAAAAGTGACATCTGTGTTCAAAGTAGATGGTTTAGATACGAAAATAATTGATAATACTTTGATAAGACACAATTTGCATTTTTAAAAAGAAAGTGGAAGTGGGTCGCGGGAAAGTTTGTTTATTGGGACCGTGTTGAAATGTAGGTCGTCAAATGTTTGCGTCAGTCAAATTCGTCGTTATAAAATTGATGGTTCGTCTACATCATGTTTTTTTAACTAAGTACACTGAAGATCATCATCAGAACCAACAATTAAAGATAGCGTTATGAATTCAACAAAAAAGTCTTCATAGCGTCATGGTTATACAAGTGCCATTGTGTTGTGGATAAATTTTATGGGTAGGTGGTAGGTAGTGGAAAGTTAAGGTTTAATTTAGTTTTAAGGTGTCAGGTATCATTACGAACCCAGTAAATTTAGAGTTTCTTGTAATTTAGGCAAGCCGAGTGTGATTTAAATATGTAAAGATAAATGCAATTAAATTTTGGTTGTAAGTGTTTGTGGCCTTGTCAGTCTTTTTAGTGAGAATAGTGGAGTGGCAGTCTTTTTTATTCTTTTTAAGTGTTAGCCCCCCGTTCTGCGTGACATTTCAGTGTTGTGTTTAAGTAGGTATACAATGCGATCAAAAATGAGTTGCTGTCAAGTCACCTTTGGAATTTTTGTTTACATGGTAAATCGTACAGAACTTGAACTTCCAAAGGCTACTCGACAGCAACTCATTTTCGATCGCCCGTTACTTGATTATGGTAGCAGATTCGTCAATTATTTGTCAGCCCATTTGGAGGGCACTGACAATTCAAATCGGTGGATAAAAACGTATTTAAAGTGCAAGGTCGTATCGGTATACGTTAATAAACGTTGAAAAAATCAATGGTTCTTCTTTAGATAGTAACATAACACATGCAGGGAATGGAACGTTTTGCAAACATCAATTGTCACTGGGCTCCAACATGCACGAGAGTCGCTATTGTGTTTGACATTTTTGTGAGGGCCATATTGGGTTATCAGGTGGTGGTATAATAAATCTTGTCCATTCCCATTGTTCGATGTTTCATTTTTAATTATTTCTTTCACCACACAGATAGACAGATAATTATAATTAAATAAATAACTTTAATGATTCAAATATAAGACAAAGACAGAAATATTTCGTCTAATTTCGTTGAAGATATGATTAAGAATTACAAAATTAAACAAGACAAACATAAACAAATAAAACACTTCAGAAACAGTTTATAAAATTGTAAAATACGCGTTAGATGCGTTAGTATAATAGGTAGTGACATCTTTCGTGTACTCATAATATTGAGAACTACGGGTTACGAGGCACACTGGAAAGTCTCTCGTATATTTCTCAATTAAGAAACACCACATATTTATTGATACAACAGCAGTACCCCGAAATCTTTTCATAAATTTAACAGAAAAATGCCAATAGTATAATTGCAACAGATAAACAAAGTTAAAAGAAAATGAAAAATGCTAAATTGTTCCTCACATGCGGTTATGGTTACAATTTGAGTTTTTACCGATAATATAGAACAACTACTTTATCATATTAACATCTAATTTTTGAAGAGGGACTAACGTAAACGAAATGAAAAATGATTACGTTTAAGTGACGGAGGCAAACTTCAAAAACTTCGTTTTTGGATGTTAAATTTTACAACAAACTAAATCAGGATGTCTATGACCGAAACAAAATTGGAGGTATCTTCATTTTTTGTAATATAACCTAAAATTAACGATTTTGTTTACTTGTAGATGTTTGATGATGATGTGGGGGATTATGTAGAAGGCGAAATGTCAATTCCAGGCAAACCGAATGCTACCAAACTGGGCGAACCCGATTTTAACACTCTTGACGAACCGATTCGGGAGACTATAGTAAGCTGTAATGCATACACTTTCAGCTGCGTAATCCTATTGTTTCAGTTGAGGGATGTTAAAGCTGTCGCGATTAAGTTTATGTACGTGCTTTTTCCCAAGGAGAAAAAGGCGTTACTGAAGGAATGTAAGTGTCTCGCGTACTGATGACCAACAATTATGTTTACGTGTCTTTCAGGGGATCTTTGGGGCCCGCTTTTTTTGTGCACTTTCATGGCTATGTGTGTATTACCGAAAATGGTCAAGTAGCCAATCAATAACATGTTTTGTTTAAGGATTCTGCAAGGTTCGAGTCGAGCGGACGACTACAATGATGGAGGTCCAGAATTTGCAGAAGTGTTCGTTATAGTTTGGATCGGTTCGATGATAGTTACACTTAATTCGAAACTATTAGGTGGAAATATGTCAGTTACTTCATCATTTTGACTTTAATAGACCAGAGTTCATTCCAGATCATTCTTTCAAAGCGTATGCGTCTTAGGCTATTGCTTATTGCCGACAGCAGTCGCATTGATATTGTGTCGTATTATTTTGATAGCAGAACATACAAATTTCCTGTTTTTCCTTCGATTTTTTGTATCGATGGTTGGTTTTGCGTGGGCTACGTATGGTAAGAGATATGTGTGCTAATTTGCGAGTTTTATTAATTTTGTTTCTTTATAGCCTCCACGGTTTTCTTAGGGGATAGTCAAAAGCCAGGACGTAAAGCTCTTGCAGTTTATCCAATTTTTTTATTCTATTTTATAATTTCATGGCTAGTTATTTCTCATACTAACGTATCTTAAACTTATACCAGCTAAGTTTGTAAATATATTTTTTTGTAAATAAATGTGACAAATATACAAAGTGCTGTAATCAACTGTTTCGTCCGTGCAGAGGTATAGATGCAGAAGTGATAAAGATACGTAGCAGCATTCATCTCAAAATATAACTTTAGTTTAAGGCTACCATATCCAGCATCTTCGGATACCTTATGGACCGGAAAGAGGTCCAGCAAATTAACAATGTTATGTAAGCAACTTCGGAATGTTTTATTCTTTTACAAATGGGAAAGGTTTGGAATTGCCTTTAATCCTACTTGGGATGACCCTTCTTTACCTGATGAAATGTATTAAATTAACGTCAGATTTAAATTATTCAGATTCAAGAGTAGGTACTTCCTCGGATTGTTAATTTTTGTATATTGTAGATGTGATGTAAAATGTGTTAGCGTCTTCCACAATTAGGTCTCTTGCTCTAGATTTTCCCCCTACATATGTAGCCTCTGTGAACAGTGATTCAGAATTTTCTTCAGCGCGGTTCTTTTGTCCCATGAGTTCTGGGTTTTGATTCCTTTACACTTTTGATCAATTATTTATTCAATAAACTTTCTTTTGCTTTTCAAACTCGATAGATGTATTATTTGCGTTCCACCTTTTCGATAATAAGTAAGCTTGGGTCCGGCCATTGTTGAGTGTGAGGTTTGTTTTACTATACTGTGTTCAGAGTTCGTGTTTTTCCCGCTGTTAGCGCGGGAGCTGTCGACTTGGTACATCACAATTTATTATGTCAAACCCTTAATTTACCTAGGTTCAATTAAATAGATATAGAGGGAGAGTAAAAACTCGATTATATCTGTGTTATTTATTATGAAGCAATTTTTTAATAACAATTGTTGTATATTTTTATTTAAATATAATTAATTAATAACGTTTTTTACCGCCACGTTATAACGGGCGATCAAGAATGAGTGACTGTCGAGTCGCCTTTGAAAGTTCAAGTTAAGTAGGATTTCCCATGTAAACAAAAATTCCAAAAATGACTAGACGGTCACTCATTTTTGATCGCTATGTAGGTCGTAGGCGATTGTTATTGCCTACTTGTCATACACATACAACGGTTTTGTGTACATATAATAATGGGTACGTTCAGCCATTATTTAAAAACTATTTAAACAATTGTTCAGCCGACGCAACTGTTGACATACATCGTGAACGTGTTTTAGTAGCAAACGTCAACATATGCCTGAACGGTTTTGTTGACACGACATGTTAGATGTGAAGCCGACTTCCATCTCCACCAGATCTACCAGAAGTCACATTCAGCACTCCGTAAAGTCAACGTCTCAACAGTTGTGTCGGCTGAACGTACCCAATGGTTTTACTATTAGGGCCGGTTGCACAAAGACAGTTTAAACCTAGCTTGGAGTTAACCAGTGGATTACGGTCTAGGATTGGTTGAAATTTGACGTTTTGTCAAATTTCCACTAATCATATGTCTTAATCCATTGCGTTAATTTAAACGAAGTTTAAACTGCGTTTGTGCAACCGGCCCTTAAACAAATAAAATCCCAAGTTGTTCGTAATTCGCCTTTGTGATAAAATAACCAAAGACGCCGTGTTGGGAAATAGATTCTGTCCACACGTATCCCAGTTTTCAGGGCCACTGATCCAGGTATTGTGGTATCCCTTTTTGATTACGTTCAGAAGGACCTGTTTACCGTTGTAACTACTTCTTATGTTATAATGTCTGCGATTGTAAAAGTTGAAATCAAACAAGAAGAAGAAATAAGTGCATCTGTGGATGACAAAGTTTTACAACGCAATGATGTCTCAATTCGACTCAAACATGAAGTAAATGGAAGTATAATTAATGTAGGTTATTCTAATGTTACAAGTAATTGGAAAGATGAAAATAAGGTCCAGCAAAAAAATGAATTGGTATTTGAACATTCCGAAGATTTAGGATATGGTGACCAACCACAAATTTTAACCAATTTTAATTGTGCTCACTGTGACTTTGCAAGTAATTATAAATCCAGTTTGAGAGCACATTTACAAACCCACAAGACTACCAAGGATATCCTATGCCCTTATTGTGATTATGCAACCAATAACAAATACAATTTTAAAGCACATTTGTTGATCCACAAGACTACTAAGGATTTAAAATGTGCACAGTGTGATTATGCAACCAATAACAAATACAATCTAAAATTACATCTGTTGACACACAAGACTACCAAGGATTTAAAATGTGCGCAATGTGATTATGCAACCCGTGACAAATCCAATCTTAAATTACATCTGTTAACACACAAGACTGTCAAGGATTTCAAATGTGCGCAGTGTGATTATGCCACCTATAACAAATTAAATTTTAAAAATCATCTGTTGAAACACAAAACTGGCAGGGATATTAAATGTGCACAATGTGATTATGCAACCAATTATAAATCTTGCATTAAAAGACATCTGTTAACACACCAAACTAACAAAGATATCAAATGTGCACAGTGTGATTATGCAACCAATTGCAAATCCAATTTTAAAAAACATATGTTAAGACACAAAACTGCCAAGGATTTAAAATGTGCACAGTGTGATTATGCAACCAGTAATAAATCACACTTTAAAACACATTTGTTAACACACAAGATCGTCAAAGATTTCAAATGTGCACAGTGTGATTATGCAACCCATAACAAATTCAGCTTTAAAAATCATCTTTTGAGACACAAGAATTCGAAGAATTTAAAATGTGTACAGTGTCATTACGCAACCAATAATAAGTCGCACTTTAAAAGACATCTGTTAACACACAACACTGCCAATGATATCAAATGCGCACAGTGGGATTATTCTGCTAATAAGGCATCGCCTGCGTGTATGGAGTTTCAGGATTAGTCCGATGAAAAACAATAATAATAATGTTTATTGTGTGAGCAAGCATAACTTTTACACTTGTAGTAGTTACACATAAAGCATAAAAAAACAATGTTATCGTTAACATCAATGCACAAACAAGTACCTACTCTAAATCTGAAAAGTCATTTCCAATGAATTCGCCCATATTACTTACTAATAATAAGATACTTTTTCAAGAGTTGTCATACTTATTGTAATGTCCGTATATGTGAGAATATCCAAGCTAATGTAATTAATTATAAGGAAACCATTCCACACAGCACAAAATATTTCAGGAATATCTGATCCTTTCACTTGCATTACAATAATATAACAGTTGATATATTGCACTTAATTCTTGTATTAAAATAAAAGCAATTACCTCCTTATATAACTATTTATTTCGACTCATACATGATCGAAATTTAAAAAAAATTAAATAAAATAATCCGCCATATTGGAGCTAAAAAATTGATTGTAGGATCTATAAACCTTATCATGTCAAATTGTGACCGTAGAATAATAAATGTCAGTTTCATTCAAGTAAAGATTTTCCTTCAAAACTAACGGCGCAGAAATGATTGTTTAAAGCTTTGCATAACAACCAATGGGAAAACCACTGCCTCCCAAATTCAAAAAGATATATGAAAAACGGTATAATAAGTATAAAATATGGTACCTACAATATCCAAAATTTACATAAAAAGGTAACCATTAATCATTAAATTGTGTTTGACATTTCAGTGTGTTCTGTCACGTCTTGTCCCTTGTCGCGTGTTTCTCCTTCCGGGATAAAAAGTATTACTTTAGTTTCCCTTAAATGGAAGACAAAACATTTAGTCCACGGAGTACAAGAGATCAATATTCCTTGTGCTACAGCAATCATCAATGTGAAACATTAAACCAATTCAAGCGTATTTATATCCATAACCATAATTGAATTTGCTGCTAAATTTCGGATAAGATGCTTCTCTAACCAGTTTTCTATCTAAACTCATTAGGTATTTATAAGGCTTCTGAAAAAAATTTTACATCAATTTACCAGTAGTAAGGTTAGGCACAGTTTTACATCTACCTAGCTAAAAACACTTTAAGCGAATTACTAATTACATACCTTATAAGTTTTCAATCAGCACGAGAATAACACCGATTATAAGGTATGTAATTCTAATTCGCTTAAAGTGTTTTTAGATGTAAAACTGCCTAACCTTACTACTGGTAAATACCTAATGAGTTTAGATAGAAAACTGGTTAGAGAAGCATCTTATCCGAAATTTAGCAGCATAAATTCAATTATGGTTATGGATAACGCAATTGTGATCATAAATACGCTTGAATTGGTTTAATGTTTAACATTGATGAATATCGTAAATCCAAGCTACATACGCGGCATCGGATGTGACGGAAAACGTAAAATAAATCAAAAACAAGAAGCACAGTGTAAACTAGTAATGTGAAGCAGTGACAATTACAGGTGGTGACACTGTCAAAACAGTATAATTAAGGTTTGGATTTAGAGAATATAGGCAACGGGTGATGCACATGTAATTCAATGGGGCGTGCATTGCCTCAGAACTTCATTCACCATTCCATAAGCAAGGGGTGTATATGATCGGAAAAATATGCATTAGGTAGATAGATGTACAGAGCATAGTTTCCATACAATATAAACTGATATTTTGTCCATTAATATATGTTTAAAAAATCTAGAAAACATGCGTCAAAAGAGTTCATAGTTTAGGAATTAATTGCAAAAATTAGGGAGCATTTTAAGCAATACGAATGTATGGGATCGGTAGCGTGAATACTTATCTATATTTTGGCAATTTATGTGAAGCTCAAAAGTTTTCATAAAAAAAGTGGTGAATGAAGTTCTGAAAAATGGGCATGTAAACTGGAGAAATGGAAATAAACTACGCAGCTGTGACTAATATCGCGGTCAACAGTGTAGCTTCTTTCTCACAGAGGGTGCCACCAAGAGTTTCATGAAGTCGGTAAAAAATACGATAAAGATATGAAATAGGTACCTAAGCGCTTTTATCTTGCGATGGAGTTGTTCTTACTTTTTAACTAGGCTAATACCGTTGAGCTAGTACTGTGTAATGGGGATAACAAAAGACAAAAATTTACGAGCAAAAAAAAACTAGCAGGCTATGTAAGTTGCCTATGTTAAATCATTTAGCGATTCTC